CAGCGCCCATTTGGGCGCCCCTTTTCACTTCCAATCCTTCCAACTTTAATCCTAACTTATCCTACATACTTTTCTACATCGACCTAATTAGTTCAAGTTCTTTTATGATTTATTTTGTACATTTTCATACCGAAACTAATCTTTTAACTACTATTTCCTTGAGTTATACTATTTTATCATTTCAAATGAAATAATTACTGAACACCTATGTCTTTTATTTTTTTTTTTTTTTTTAAACGCATGTGGGGTATTACAGTACTGAGAAACAAGAAAAGTAATTCCCATATGCATTATGGAAATTGTTTTGTAAAGCAAACAAATTATTTGAATGGACATGCACCAGATTCCCTTCTCCTTTGTTATGAGTTTTCTTATGCTACCTTACACATCTTTGAGCTATCAATCTTGAGCACTTCACTGGACTCAATTGTTTGTACTATTTTATTAGACTTANTACCTTACACATCTTTGAGTTATCAATCTTGAGCACTTCACTGGACTCAATTGTTTGTACTATTTTATTAGACTTAATTTTAGTTAATGTGGTCATTCATAGTATTTGACTACCTTTTAACTAAACGTGGTATTTAATTTTCAGTCTCAAGAAACTTGTGGATATCAATCCAAATGATGAAAGGATAATGTAAGCAAGCATCTCTGCTATTTCAAATAAAAACCACTGAATGTCTCGTGCTTTGAAAGACCTATTATGATTCTACTACTTCTTCATCTTTGTAGCAATTTTTTCTTCTATTTTTTTTTCCACATGCTCTATTGTAGATAGCCATGGTGGGGATATCTCAATAAATTTGTATCCTTCATGATCTACAATATATAATTACATTCAACCCTAGTTTTCTACACAAACATACATATTGATATATATCCTACTAACATCCGCAATATTGATGTGGTTCATTTATTAAGTTGAATAGAGGAAAAAATGGTTAGGTATTTGGCTTTATATGATTTTTCGCAGAAATAAAAATAAGCTTCATTTTTTTGTTGTTGTTGCTATTTCGGTATAAATTTTAACCTTCTAATTGTGTGTGGTTGCTTTTTATTTATCTTATTCCATATATTTAAATAATTCATTAGAATTTCTCTCCCTTTTATCTTTAATTTTGAATATTGCTAATCTCTTTAGCTTTTGCATTGGAGCTCTGTATGTCATATGGTTGGACACACAGAGAAAGGAGAGTCATTGACAAATAAGATAGCGGAGAAGCTTCACAATTATGATATTTAATCTTTGGACTCAAATTCGCTGAAGAGGCCTACTTCTCCGACATTAGTTAATTAAAGCCACGATGAAACTCCTGTTTAGGAAGGAGAAACTAGTTCACAAGCTCTTCAGTTGTGGAAAATGTACATTTACCATCTCATAAGGAAGCTACCTTGCAAGTAGAAATATTGGGGTTTTTCTCTCTNCCAGTTCACAAGCTCTTCAGTTGTGGAAAATGTACACTTACCATCTCATAAGGAAGCTACCTTGCAAGTAGAAATATTGGGGTTTTTCTCTCTGTTTTGTTTTCCAATGATTTTTTTTTTTTTTTTGCATCCAAGAAACAAATAGATAGTGTCTATCTATAAGGCTTAAAATTCTTCGATGCAGACTTGACCATGGCTATTTTAGTCAGAGTTTCCATATTCCAAGAGAAATTTGGCGTTCTGCGATAACTTTAATGTATTTGATTCAATTCAATTTGTTGTTCATTGATATGTTTGATAAATTCAGTTTGATTTGATTTGTTGGAAGAAAGATTTGCTTTTGTGAGGACTATTGTAGAAAGATCGCACCATCGAGAATTAGTACATCAATATCAATGATGTAGTATCTAATATAATTAACCAGGTATTAACTTTTTCTCAAGAAGCATAAGGAACATCTAGCAGCCCATAGATTTCTCACACTCACTCTCATAAACATAGAGATGAACAATATTCTAGACCAGATAATCTAAACCAAAAAGAAAAATATGTTTTTCCNTTGAATATAATTAACCAGGTATTAACTTTTTCTCAAGAAGCATAAGGAACATCTAGCAGCCCATAGATTTCTCACACTCACTCTCATAAACATAGAGATGAACAAAATTCTAGACCAGATAATCTAAACCAAAAAGAAAAATATGTTTTTCCAAGTCTTCGGTTCCCAAAATAAGTGAGATGAATTTGATCCTCTATCAATGAACTAGCCTTTTTATGTCCACTACCTGGAGAAGCAAGAGATGTGCTCAACCATAAGCCGATATAAATGCAACACTGGGAAAAAAAAGGTTCGAGGTGTTTTGCGTACAAATGGTTCTTTAAAATCGTTGTATACCATACTACTTGTAGACCTCTAAGTTGAACCTTTGTTTTGAAATTGACTACCAACAAAAGAATAGAAGGTTTCATAACTATAGCTTCTATCATTATCACTGATGGGGAGAGGGGGGGTTGGAGGTAAACAAGTTACCATTGTTTTAAAGATGGTATTCTTCTTGAAGTTTTTTTTTCCTTTTTGAGATTGTGTATTCTTTTTCCCTTTCCTGGGATTGTTTGGCTTGCTAGAAGTACTATACTTGCTCTCCAATACTGTTTTTGTTTTCAAACGCATGACCTGCTTACAATGTACTAATAGAATGGTGTCTTACCGTAAAGGTGCTCGTACCATATTCCTTTATCCAGAATTTTCCTTTAAGGTGTGCATTACTCTGTGTGTGTTTATGAACGATGACGAGTTTTTTCCCCTCCCGCATTTCAAACCAGCCTTTTTCCATCTCTATGTGTTTTATGGTTATAAAAGAAGTGTTGCCTCTGGTAATTTGGTTTGGGGGTCATGCGAGCAAAGAAAAGAAGCTCACACTACTGCTTTATGTTCATCAAATTGCAACTTTAAGCAACTTGCTTATAGGCACACCCTTTGATCTTTGGCTATGTTCTAAATAGATTATAAAAAAAAGTATGGTATGATTATGTTGTCAGTTAGTAATTAAATCACTAATCTTCCGTAGGATACTAAGATCAAACGCATTCATCTCCCACACAGCTCGCGCTCTTCCCTGACTTCTTTTTTTTTTTTAAGTCCATGCTCTACTTTCTTCATATGAATGTCCGTGGGGTGGATTCATTACATTGCTCTTTCACTCATCATATGTACTTGGTGTTTTGTTTTTTTTTAAATCTTGAGCAATGTTAGTTGTTGTAGATGTTTATTATGAGAAAAATTGAACCTGCATTGCTGTTGAACATACTTGAGAAGCTATCTGGGTAATATTACACAACATTTTCGACACTTTCTACTGCC